GATTCGAACCCGCCACCTTAGGTGTATGTGGCTGGTGCCTTAGCCGCTTGAGCCACAGGCACCGAGCCACAACCCAAATTATTAAGCCCCCTTTCACCAATGAAAACTGAAGCCCAGGGAATGAAGTCACTTGCCCATGGACATGGAAAACAAACTTGGGTACCACCATGATGCAGACTGACTCTCAGAAAGGTGCCACCATTGTGTCCCTAAGCTGTGATCTTTGTGGAAGACATTGATCCTGACAAAACTGTGCATGACACTTTCCACAGCCCTATCATTTACTCCCCTCAGAGGGGAGGAGTTAGTCTGGGGAATCCTGGCAGCTCAGCAGTAAACCCTCCAGAAGAACTGCTTCCCTTACAGATTTTCATACTCACCACGTTTTCCAAGAAGCGTCCATGCCCCTGTTGGCAACTGTAAGACTCTCCTACCCACCCCCAGCCAATACCCTGGAGCTCCCCTTTGCACCAGCAGAACTCTCACCCCTCAATCAGTATGGGGCTCCCACCCTCAGTGGCCTTCCCTGCTAGGCCACAGTGTGCTCACACCCTCCTTCGGCTTATGGAGACTCTTAGCCACACTCAGTCCTCCAGGAAGGGAACATGGGGTAGGCGGGTGAGACTCAGGCCTCATGATCTTCCCTCTCCTCTGTGCCATTATGTGCCCCACAGAGAATCGCTGTTTACAAGGGACCTACCCGGCAGGGCAGCTGGGACTGTCCGGATGATCTGCAGGTGGGAGTCCAGCAGGAGGCAGGAGCCTTTTGCGTACATGTTCTCCCCACAGGCTCTGTGCATGGTAGGGCCACAGGCCTGGAGGCAAAAGCTGTGAGCAAGGGGTCCCCCAGAGCACCTCCTCCTCTTCCAGCCAGCTCCCCCTCCCACAACCCTCCTGTGACCCAGAACCACTCACCAGCAGCCAGAAGTGGTTGGAGGAGACTGCCAGGGACAGGCCCAGGGATATGTTTACAGCTTCTGGGGGGACTGAGAGGGCAGACACACATGGTCACACTCAGGGCCACAACTTCATTTGGGGGGAGTCTGGGCTGGAAGGTGAAGGGGATGACTTGGGTCCAGGAGGTTTGTGGGGGTGGGGTCCCAATTCCTGGGTTGGGTCACTCACTGTGCAGTGAGATGGGCTGGCATATGCTGGTGGAAGATGCACAGTCGTACAAACGTCCTGTTTTGTTGACTGCCACCACCTCCAGAGGGGCTCCTACCACGAGTCTGGAGGCAAAACCACGACATAGTCACAGGAAGGGTAGGAACAGGGGGCACTTTGGAAAAGAGGAAGTTTCTTATGATGGGGAACTGAGACTTTTACCACTTAGAGGCTGTTCAAAAAACAAAACTTGAGCAAGACGGAGACTTCATCTCTACCAAAAATGGAAAAATCAGCTGGGTGTTGTGGCAGGCACCTATAGTCTCAGCTACTTGAGACGCTGAGGCAAGAGGATCACTTAAGCCTAAGAATTAGAGGTTGCTGTCAGCTATGACAACATGGCACTCTACCCAGGGTAACAGAACGAGACTCTGCCTAAAAAAAAACAAAAAACAAAAACAAGAAACCAAAAAACACCCCAGGGCCTCAGTTTAACCCACATATGCCTAAGGACTATGCTGTGGTTTCATTTATTTGTTTTTGAACTTGCACACCTAAATATATGTGCGTGTATGTATATATAAATGGTTTGGACTTTTTAAAACATTCACCAAAAATAAAACTACTTAAAAACCAAAATGGCATTTTCCAATCATGAGTAAGTGCACTGCATTTCTGAAATGCCATCATTGTGAGCCACCCAAGAAATAGACCATCTCAAGTTAAAGGGAACAATTTCCCAAAGCCAGAAGCTTTCATAGCAAATAGTTGATTCTGTAATTAATAGAACACACTTCAGTATAATGCAAACAATTAAGTTGAACAATTTAAAGCAGCTGTGCCAGAATCATACTTCTATCTATAGTTATGAAATACAGCATATATACATATATAGGTATATAAATCTGTAGTTACACAAATGTAAAACTCACTCAGCAGGGGAAAAAAATCTTAATTTTGAAGACATTATATCATTACCAACAACATCCCCACCCAGATGAGAAAAGTAGGCAAATACTGGTGTATTTTAATTAGCAAAGCAAGGCTTAGTTAAATGGGTACTTGAGGTTCCTTCTAGAGAAAACCATTTTTTTTTTTTTTGTGGTTTTTGGCTGGGGCTGGGTTTGAACCCACCACCCTACTCCTTTGAGCCACAGGCACTGCCCAAGAGAACCATTTCTTTACAGAAAGACGTAATCCCTGTGTGTCATAATTCCTGGAAAAATCTAAGACATCTAAGAAAAATCTAAAACAAAGCCTAAGACTTTGCTAATGAAAATCTGAACAGATGGCTAGAGGAATAGTAGTTTGGGA